ATTTCCAAACTTCCTCAGCCTTCTTTTCTTTTTTGTCCTATAATGGAAACACGCATGAGTAACAACTCCTTACCACAAAAGATAGTCCTAAACATAGTTATACCGTTTTCACATTTTCTGTTCCTTTCTTCGTCGTTTCTTTACTTGTCTTGGTCGTCTTCTGTTTCTTCTTGTCTATACCATCTTTAACACCAACATCAGATTTCTTCTTTGTTTTTTTTTCTGCAGCGAATGGTTTAAATTTGCAACCGATTGATAAACATTACTAGTAAAAGGAAAACATAATCGCTGATCTAATACCGCTGGCTGGTAATCATCTTCGTCCTCTTCGTCATTTGAGCCTTTTCGTTTCCTTTGGTTGACAGATTGCTTTTTTTGCGAACCAATCTTCGCCCTGAATACCAAAAAATCTTTAAGACTAAACGGTATGGACGAAAAACATTGGAAAAAGCTCTCTTTGTACAAACCATGAAGCCTTTTTCGACATAAATAAAAAAAAGAAAACAAAACGAATTGAGAGACGGCATAAAAACCAATCAAAACTTAAAGTACCATTCCCCCGGAAACTTCATGTCATTAAAGTGACAACATAACTGGACGGCAAGCTTTATTTAGACATTGCTAAGCTTACATGACAGTTATATTTAAATCGATGTTTTTTTCATACACCGAAGTCACATGACATGAAAACCTGCAAACGCGTCAAATTTGCAAGTTTGTGATTTCGGTACGACTGTCAAACTTTGTTTCCGAATGCAAAACAATCGATTCTCGTGTGAATGTTCGACGTACGGATAAAATAATAATGTGGTTTTCAACGTTAAACAACAAAAGTAGCAAACAAAACTACCAATGGCACATCATCTTCATCTGAATCTGAATAACTTCTTTCCTTCTTCACTTTCTTTAACGTTTCCTCCTTGTTTTTATCGACTTTTTTCATTCCTTCGTTTGTACCCCGGTCATCTTCCTCTCCATTTCCAGTCTCCACGGCATCTTCCTTCTTCACTTATTTATTAATTTTAAGTTTCAAGGAGCTATTTGAGGAGGATTTCTTTGCAACATTTGCTTTTGAGGAACCATCCTTCTTGACGTTCCCGCTATTTTCATTTTTTAAGTTTGCGTTCGACTTTGCGGAGGTTAATTTCTCTGCTTTGGCAGGACTAGGTGTGCTCTGTTTTTCCTTCTTTATTTTAACCGAGGACTTTGAAGAAGATTTTTTAACTTCAGATATTTTGGAACTTTTTAAGTTGTCGGACTTGTGTTCAGAATTATGAATTCCAGGTTCTGTTTTTGTTTTTTTCCCCGCCTAAATCAGTTTTACTCGATTTAAGTTTCAATTTCTTAACGGTTCCCAAGTTTGCGTTCTTCGTCGGTTCCTCTCGGTTCAATTTCGAAATCTTCTCGGATTTCGGGGAGATGTTTGACGGGTTTTCTCTCTTTATTTTTTTTTACTTTTTTCACGGATTCACCATCTGCCTTTTTCATTGGTAAGTTTACTAGATCGCTGCGGTTTCGAATCAAAGAAAAGTCACAGCAATAAACACAACAAGAAAAGTATACAATGCTGATTCATAAAAAAAACTTTAGCACGCATGTCAAGTGAGCAGCAGGGTGGTACGAGACATTTTAACTGTAAGAGAAGAGGGGCAAATTTTACTGAGGAGGAACACGAGATACTTGAAGTACTGGAATGGATTCAGAATGATTTTGGAGGTGGTGGTCTAGTTTGGTTAAGATTTGCAGCTATTTTGATTGTTAAATTTTGTTCCTCGCATATCATAAATTAGTCCGTGATCTGTGCCTCAAAAATATGCTTTAAAAATGAGTTTCGTTGGACACCTCAAGGAAGGTCGCAAAATTTTCAAAATAGATAGAAAGTCACTTGCTGTTTGATATTCTTTTTATTGTCACTTCTAAAAAGCTGCAGTTTTTTAGTATTTCGCAGTTGAATTTCAAAATTCCTCGCTCCTTCAATTTTGAATGTCGCCATTTTTTTGGTGCGGAACTCTTTGATCTAACTGCCGTTGTCATGGTGAGGCAAATTTATTAACGGGCGCCATCTTGAAAGGTGGCAAAAAGGCGAGACTCTTAATAAAGTCCAAGTAAAATGTAAGTTTTAAATGAAGAATTCTATCAAAAATTTTGGAAGCAAACCTAAACTGTCACCTTTGCACTTATGTACCAACATAGGAGAAGCCTGTTTTATACCTAAATCTTGTCAGTTTTAAGAACTCATGGTTAAATCGTGCGCAACTTCACTTTTCGAAGGATAGCCACGCATCTTTCCATAAATTTTTCCTTAAACACTAAAGCTTGGTAAGAAATTGATCATTACCACTAAAGAATTTTTTGTTAATAAGCTTTTAAAGAGGCACATCATTATGCAAAGGCCTAAGATAAATGTAAAATTTGTAGAACAAACATTTAGCAGCTTACAGCTATGTTACAGATTCCATAAAGTACATGCTTTTCTGATTAACCTGCTTTAAGTGATGCAAGAGCAAAAATAAAGTTTTAAAAGTATTGCTATCAGGCTATTAGACTCACTAAACACAAGAATTACTTTGATTCAATGTTTTGACCACACTTTCTACTAGGTCACTCCACATAGGATAAGTGAAGTCCATTCTTTACTTTGGAAGAGTAGAACTCTAAAATTTCTCTTTTTAAATATAGAAGGACAACATTTTTTTGGTTTTGTAGAACCTACACTAAGCATTAAAGTGCTTGCTCACTTACTTCTAACAGAGGATTTTGTCTCCATTACATACCAATGTCCCAAAACCATCTTTAGTTGCTGTTTCCATGCATTGATTATATAAAGAATGACTTCAAAAATAATTCAGATATTCTTTATTTTAAATCAACATTATAAACTTTTATCAAAGGACACAGAGTAAATTAGTAAATTAGTATGTATAGATCAGAATCATAACTACATTTCTTGTTGAGAAATATATATTTAGGATCACTTTTTCAATCAATGTGCCAGAACTCTTTCACTCTCCTTTTCATGGTATGGCAAAGACAACTTTTATCTATGAAAGTCCTCGCTAATCAAATTTAAAATAAAACAAGTTTCAACCCAAGCAAAAAACCCCCAGCTTTCTGGCTTCTGAAATGGCTCACTGAAAAATATTCTTTCTTGAATTGTAAAACATGATCTTGAGCATAAAGCCTTAACTGAAGATTAACAATCATCACAACCTATGAAAGAGATTGTTGAAAAATACAAATGTTTACCACTTCTGACATATTGTAAACAAATAGTAGCTAAGTTTGTTCTAAGAATCATATAATGTTGAGTTCTAGCTTGGTGTTTTGAGATTTTATGCTTCTTAACTGAGATTTTTAACTTCTTTTTAAAAAATACCTCTCAGTTGTATACAGAATGCAATAAGAATGACTTTAGCAATATTTACACTAACTCGTGATTAGCAATGGAAGTTTATGGAACTTACATTTTTGTACCAAGCTGCGCTTTGGCCTTTCTGTTTACAACCACAAATGGATATTACTCCTCCGGATAAAAATGGGTGGCAAACGAGTGACGGGAAACTGCAAGTCTGAAATCGTATGGATGACCATTCCCCTAGCGCCGAATTCCCTACTTGATAACGTTCATTGTGGTTGTAAGACTGGCTGCAACGTGGCTGTAACTCCCAACGTTGTTCATGTAACAAAGCTGGAGTGAAGTACACAAATGTATGGTCGTGTACTGCATGCACGAATGTAGATATTGATGACGACAATGATGTTGAGGAAGAGGAGTTTTTAGATGATGACATTGACGACGAATTCGAGACAGACCTTTAAAAAAAGCGCGCCTTGTCTTGCACAATACGATTATAACCTTCAAAATATTATCTTCGCAACAATTGCTAATATCCAACCTAATGCACGAGTGAAATATGTATTTCTTTCAGACATTTTATTTATGTTGCCAGTATTATCGTGCGGAATAGCTCTCTATTAGGTCTGGCACTAACACACAAAATATAAATAACATGAAGTTTCCTTGGGAAATAGGCGGATTCCAAAATTGTAATGAGCTACAAATTTTACAATTTTAATGTAATATAGCAATAAAACTGCAGCGTTTTGGAGACGACAAGAAGTAAAACTGCGCTAAGCATGTAAAAGTCGTTCTGTCTTGAATTTTCCACGACCTTCTTTGAGGTATCCAACGGGAATGAAAGAAAATCGGTCACAGATCACGGACTAAATGGGAATTGTCCTGTGGAAACGCATTTCTTGGAAAACAAATCAAAATTCATTATGCTTAACTGCTTGTAATATTTATATACGTATCATAAAGAAATTATCCACCTCCCGAACCTTCCCCCTCTCCCAGTATTTCTGTTATATTTATACATCATAAACAAATTATCCATATCCTTCACCTTCCCTCTCCCCTGAAGTATATGTACACCTGATGAAGAGTTAGCTTGATAGTATAAAAACTTACGTCTGTTTCGCTCGAGAAAACTACAAAATAAAAATATTATTTAAAAAAAAAGCAAGACGATAAAAAAGAGTATATAAAACAAAAGGCCAAAACAAATTTATGATAAAAGGGTATTACACTAAAGTGCTTACGAAACGAAAATGTTTCTTTATGTAATCCGCGAAGGCTATTTTGTTAGGATTTGATAACAGGTCTTGTCTGACGTTTCGACCAGGTCAATCACGCTGAAATCACTCGAAATAAAAGATGTTTACTGTGTTTACGCAGTCTTATGAAAACCGAGGAGGCCTTTGAAAGAACTCGAGAGCAGATCAGTGCAAGCCTAAGACCGAAGGTCGAGGGTTGCGCCTACTCTCAGGTTCTCACAAAGATTTTCTCTCTCACCAGATCACGAGTTTCTCGGAATACAATCAATTTATAAAGCTCAGTGACTTGTAACTTATCCAGGAAACGTGGGAATGACAAATAACAAAATTTCTCTTTCGTACGCACTTTGGAAAAAATACCAATGATATAAAAATAATAACTTACCAGTGTAACGTCATCATAGACGCTGTCGCTCATGTTAGCATCAGGATTTATCAAACTTGACTACCAAAGAAAAAAAACCAAACTTAGGCCTGTATTCTAAAGTTTCACTCACACAAACACCGAATGTGACTTTAAAATCATCTTTTAATTAATCAAAGATGGAATTTTCGTGCTACTTATTGCTCACTTTGAAATATAATTGCTAAAATTTAGACATTGATTAAAGAAAGCGCAATTTTTAAGTCGCCCACAACGAGCGCGAGAATGTGCTTTTAGAATACGGGCATTAGATTTTTGAGCTACTAAAGATAAGACAAACTCGTTTGTATTTATTTTTTTTTTGTTTTTCTGAACCTTATTCTCCGTCTTCTCTGCCTTTCGTTCTTTCTTCTCTGTGACTTTCTCTTTCTTTACGCCATTGCTATAAAAAATTGAGAAAATTAATGAAGAGTTTAAATACTAAAGTAATGAAAAGCCATCCATAGAAAGCCAATTTAGAAAACTCACTTAACAGATCCACTCTTCGCCGACTTTGTTTGAGAATGAAAAAGTAGAAAAAAACATGAATATTTTGACAACCGCAACAACATTGTACATGTATCAGTAAAAATTGTTTAAATAACATACAGACAAACCAAGGTACGACCTATCCATTTTTATTTTCTTTGCCTCTGGAGCTTTTGCTGATTGAGGATGGTATAAATAAATTAGATTGGGCAGTGTTTGGATTATGGTCAAAATCAAGCAGATACATTCTCCCATCATGTATGTGATATTCACAATGTAATTATTTTGTTATTTCTGGCTCCCCAAGCATTGATAATTAATAAAGACCTTACAAAATATGGCATAAATACTGTGTCTTATAATAAGTATATTAGTCTACGTATGCAAGTACAGTTTTTGCCATCTTTCTCAAACATACAGTAACAAATTTGCTATGTTACTTATGATCCACAAATTGAATATTTGCTAATTTTTCTAATTAAGTTCTTCTGACAAGTACCAAATGTCGAGAGCTTTTATACGGCAAAGTAATGAAAAATACATGAAAATCTTAATCCAATAATTCTAGTTAAAACTAAAATAGACTTATCAGAATTTTATAACACATTATACAAGTAATTTTGAATTGTTTCCATGCAGACTCAATTTCATAGAATCAATCAAAAACCTTTATTTATATTTTATATATGGATTTCAAGTGCTTGTGAAGCAAAAATTTTCCTTTTCAAAGTGTATTTACAATGAACAGAACTATTAAATTGACTGTAGACTTTGTAAAACAGTTTATGAATGTCTTTTTTCATTCTCAAAATATAGAAGTTTTGTATGTGACGTAACATTTTGAATAACCAATAAAATCATATCAATCAATTTCCCTTTATTAAAAAGATAAATTCATCATATAAAATACATCCTTTATTATGCAACTGAATTATGCAATATGACATCACTGGTTGTGCAAACTTGCACACTCCACAAACTTTAATATCTTGAAAATGAAAAGAGAAAGGCGTTAACTGTTTGGGAAAGTCTAGTATCTACCAAAAAATTTTCCCCACCCATCCCTACTAGGTAGGTTTTAAAACACCTAAGGGGAGGGGGAGTAAAATAAATTTGCCCTAATTCATAAAATGTAAGATTTACCACTCAATGTCTGGCATTGGCATTAACATGGCTAGGTACTTGCCTCCTAATGAAGATTGTCTGGAGAAATACATCAAACGTTCCAATTAACAAGCAGCAATATGGAAATCGTCACTGTGCTCCACCAATTCCTTCCAACCATGGATGCAAAATTGACCAAAAATAAGTCTATCTCCATTGATTAGATAGATGGCAGTTGTGCACTAATCGATGTGCTAAATATTTACAATTGTATGCAAATGCACTACTGGTTGCTCAAAAAATAGATGTTCTTGTAAAAAAAGCATCCATTTCTTGCATTGAGCTCTCTTAATGCCTTTCGTGCTTTAATAAAACAGAAGAATTACAAACAGATGAGTATGGTGAGGTTTTGGTTGCAAAAATTCCAGACGAAGAATTGTCAAGTGACAATGAGTCAATGAAATGAACATTGAAAATTATCAAGTAGCATCAAGATTTCACATCTTTCTTGATTGAACCTTGTCTTTGTATTATAACACCTCTTGTAGCAATTTTCAATATTCAGTCAACTTGTATAATCTTTCTTACAAGAAAATTGTATTTTGCTTTGTTTACCTCTCTAAATAAACTGTAGGCCCACGACCCGAATAAAAAAACAGCGGTAAATTATGTGTACTTCAAGTAAAAATGTAGCCTAAACAACAAAACGGGAACGATCTTCATCGTCAAAATTCTAAAACCGAGGGTTTTCGTGAGTGGAAATTCGAATTTAGCATGTTGAAAACTACAGAATACCGTTCATAAAATTTAAAACCGCGATGGTGGCTACGAAAGTAAATCTTTTGAGGCCACAGGCAACGGACTAATGCGTAATTTTCAGACTTTCAGTCGCACTGTAACTAAATCGTTCGATCCTTTTGGTTATAATATAGCTGTACTTTTCGTAATTCACGATATACTTGAATACTCGAGCCCAAATCGCGTACGGCTTCTAATCACAGAAATAAGAGAAAAATACGCTTGAAGTTGTATTAGAAATCAAAATAAATGATAAAAGGCTATGGCCAATAAGTGTTCCCACATGAATTTCACATGTCGACGAGTGACAAAGGCTTGTATTTTATTATAATTACATAACGATGTCTCATGTCTGCTGTGATTTCTACTACTACACGCGTTCTCAATGTAGACTGTTATAGCAATTATTATACATGTGAGTAAATAGTTATATGTAACGTAATGTTTAAGAAAAGTAAAATCTACGTACCTTGCTTCACCATATGACAGCGTAGATATCATTTTTTTTTTGTAATACTATCAATAATCCAAAATATCCTAGCGAAAAATATTTGCGTGCGCACATGCACATTACAAATTTGATTAAGCGAGCAATAGCAAGGCAATAGTGCTTCTTCTGTGCTTGGCCTGTCAGTTGTCATGCTATTGTGACATTTGTAGGTGTGTCAAAACGGGGCATTCCATCATGGTCGTAAACAGCAAGCGTGCAAGCTTAACTAAGAAATCTAGTGTTTCAAAAGAATCTTTTATTAGTTATTTGAAACAAATTTTTGACAAAAGTTTTTGGATTTATGTTTTGCGTGAGAATAATACATACGTTTGTCTTTTTTTTATTTCCACTGTTTACGTAAAAACGTAAGCAATTTTTTGTCTACAAACCAGTGTATGCAATAATTAGATGCTTTTTTATGTTTCAGCCAGTTTTGCAACAAACAATGAAATGAATAAATGCTCAAAACACTGAGTAGCGCTATAACTCTTTCGAATACGCCATTTTGAGTTATAACTTCACCAGTAAAAAATTGGTCATTACACATTGCAATGATAAAGACAATCAGTATAACCATTCAACAATTGGTTAAAAACTGTTTACCAATAAACATGGCGTTGTTCTAACGTAAGAAGAATTAGTTGAAACGACCAATTCCGTTTGATCAATAAAATATATGATAAATTAACTTATTTAAATTGGTAGCTAAGAGAAAAATTGGTTGTTTTAACATTAATTTTTAACAGTGTACCTATATGATATTGTGAAAATATTTCAAATTCATTTCAAATAAATTGTCAACAATAGCTAACTACAACCATCATAAGACTTTTTAGTTGAAAAACAAAATGTTACGTCAGACACACGAGTCACAAACTCAATTAGGTAAAGTGGGAGTACCAAGACCGGAAATGAGCTTTTTTCTACTTCGCTACAAGAGAATCGTAAATCGTAAAAACGTAATCTCTGATCTAATACCGCTGGCTGGTAATCGTCTTCGTCCTCTTCGCCATTTGAGCCTTTTCGTTTTCTTTTTTTGACAGATTGCTTTTTTTGCAAACCAATCTTCGTCCTGAAGAACAAAAAATCTTCAAGACTAAACGGTATGGACGAAAAACATTGGAAAAATGTTTCGTTATACAAACCTTGAAGCCTTTTTCGACATAAATAAAAAAAAGAAAACAAAACAAATTGAGAGACGGCATAACAGCTGTGAAAAAGCATTTTATAAGCTCATATAAAAACCTGGACAACTTTGAAACAATATTAAGCAATAGCACACTACCTAATTTTAATTTTAATTTTTTATAAATTAATTTTATCTTTCTGAATATTTTTAATATGTCCAGCTATTTTTATCGTAGAATTTTGTAATTATTTACATATTTATTCATTATCAGTTTTTTTGTAATCCTGTATAATCTAGTTAGAGGGCCACAGGTTTGTCAGCTTTTCAGCTGTTACGTGTCCCCCTCTTCAAATAAAGTCCTTATTATTATTATTATAAAAACCAGTCATAACTTAAAGTGCCCCTCCCTCCCGAAACTTCATGCCATTGAACTGACAACATAATTGGACGGCAAGCTTTATTTAGACATTGCTGAGCTTACATGGCAGTTATATTCAAATCAATGCTTCATTCACACACCGAAGTCACATCTCGTAAAAACATGCAAACGCGTCAAATTCTCAAGTTTGTGATTTCTGTAGGACTTTTAAACTTTGTTTCCGAATGCAAAACAATCGATTCTCGTGTGAATGTTCGACGCACGAATAAAATGATAATGTGGTTTTCAAGGTTAAACAACAAAAGTAAATAAAATACCAATGGCACATCATCTTCATCTGAATCTGAATAACTTCTTTCCTTCTTCACTTTCTTTAAACAAGTTCTATGTCTACGTTAGTCACACGACCTCCCATACACCCTTAGAACCAATTATGTAAATCACTAGACCAAGCATTAACTTTTGATTACATGTTTGTAGATGTAGATCGTCCAGGTTGGTATAGTCACGAGAAGGACTGTTTTCGTTGCTGTTAAATGACGTTTCGACAACCTTAGCGGTAGTTATCTTCAGAGTCAAAAAGTCAACCAGGACACAAGTGAAAAGCACTAAATATCTTGCTGGATTATGGCAGCTAATATGCGCGACACAACATGCGAGTGGACATCAGATATTCCGACACGAGTGACTCTTTTGCATATTCTATATTCTGTGCCTATACCATCTATGTTTAAACACAATGACACATCAGAATGTAATCAGAACGCACCTTGCAAATGTAGATTATCAAGAAAATTCTTAAAGATACGAAAAGCCACTTCTTTCCACGCATCTCAATTGTATTAGAAACATACGGTGGCCCGTATGTGCCACAGCTTCTGCGTAGAAATATGTAGCTGTTGCATACAAATCGAGTTTCTACGTACAAACCCGAGTGTTCTTCGTACAAATATAATGTTGCTCCTTGGAAAACGAACTGCTCCACACAAATGTTAACCTTCTGCTTGTTGAAATGCTACTTCTCCACACTTAAAGAAAGGTTGCTACGAGCAAATAATCCCTTCTCCACGCTGAAATTATCTTTCTCTATACAAATAAACATACAGAACACTCTCTTACCCCCTGGCAAAAATAACACACGTGCACACACTCAACGTCGGGGGTAACCAACTCAAAACAAACTCCTACTACACCATAACGAGCAACAATGAATGAAACCATGAAGTTGTGTATACAATGCGGAGAACGTGTTGAAGATAAGTCGAACTTTTGTCCGACCTGTGGAAAGAAACTATTTAATAATAAGTTTTAAATAACGTGTGTAGCAGAAAACCGAGTACATTTTGCTTAATCGTGAAGTTTATTTGCAATATATCAATCTTTGACTTTGTGTTGCACGTGTTCGTTCTAACGGAATTATATTAAAGTTTTATCCCCCCAAATATAATTATAAAGCTTGAATTATTATGTTTCAGGTTTGTCAGAGATGCAGCAATATAGTTGCAATGCATCCACGCCTGAAGCACACGCAAAAGCTCGGGCAATTACTTTTGAAGAATTTAACCAAGCAAAAGCAACTAACAGGGTAAAAACCTTACCATCAAGGGGAAAAAAGCAACTTTGCGTGGAAGAGTGAAGATACAGATCGGGATAAAACAGTACGACACAGATGTTTCCTTAAAATCCCTAAAAGGAAGAACCCTTCCCCTAACAGTTGATGCTGACAATGATGCACGACAGTTGTTGCAAGAAGCGATAACCAAACATTCGAAACATTTTCGAACATTTAGTTGTGAGAAGAAGTATCACTTGTTATACCTCGATAACACAGAAGTTAAGCGTCTACGGTCATCTCACAACTTGTTCACACTACAAAAATATAAAGAGGAGTTGGGTAAGCCATTTTCAAGAATACATCTTTATTTGTGTGCTGATGAATGTGTGGGAAGGGCTGAAATGCACGAGCTTGGACTAAGCAGTGATAATGATCAAATGGAAGCCATATTTTCAACTCCTTCTTTTGGCAGTCCTTCCAATATATATTGTCATAGTACCCAATCTATTGGTCCTATTGCCCCATCAACCAGTACTGATGCCAAGTGTAATATTTCTATTGCTCCATCAACTAGTACTGATGCAAAATGTGTTATTCCTTCCTATCCACCACTATCGGAATTTTTTGCTATTATTATCACCATCATGTGCAAGGAATGGCAAAATACTGGGTAGGTAATGTTGGACAATGCCTATCTTTGTTTAAATCATGAGCCTCATGACTTTCAACTAATATTACATTGTCTATGGCCTGGATATCAGATGGTGGTTCATCTCGGCTTGAAACCACAGACGATAGTGGTGGATAGGAAGGAATAACACACTTTGCATCAGTACTAGTTGATGAACAATAATATTACCCAACATCAATACTGGTTGATGGGGCAATAAACTAATAATTGGTACTATGACAATATATATAATGGAACTGCCAAAAATGAGTTGAAAATATAACTTCCATTTGATCATCATCACAGTCCAGCTCGTGCATTCAGCCCTTCCCCAAATCGCACTGAAATAAAGATATTCTTGAATAACTTAACTCTTCCCTATTTTGTGAATATTGACAAGTTGTGAATGACCGTAGACGCAACTTCTGTTGTTATCGCTGTGAATACTTCTTCTCACAACTAAATGTTCAATGTTCGAGTTATGTTTCTTTGGCAATGTCAGCATCAACTGTTGAGGAAGGGTTCTTCTCTTTTAGGGATTTTGAAACATCTTTATCGTACTGTTTTATCCCGATCTGTATCTTCCTCTTCCACGCAGATGCTTTTTGATATTTGTGGCGTGCGGTGACCGAATTGTAGGCAGGCGCTGGGGTGAGGTTCGCGGCATGCCGCGAAGCTATCTAGGGGTTCTGGGGCCATGCTCCCCCAGAAAATTTTTTGATTTTGACGGCTACTGGAGCGCATTTCCCGCGATTTCTGGGAGTACTTTGTCGAAAAAATGTATCTGTCATGACTGAAACAGTATTGAAAAAACGCGCTAAACTTACGCACTTAACTTTATAATTACGTAAATCTACTCAAATTTCAAGTACATTATCCGCTGTGTAATAACTGCACCTTGTTTATCAAAATATATAAAAGCCAATAAATTCTAACATATAGAATACTCACGACTGTTGTAACAACTTCTTTGCTAGTGAATAAAATAATCACAAAATTTAATAGCGTTCTAGTACGAAATCACGTTCAGAGCTCATACGCAAGACATATAACGCTAAAGTTATAACATGCACAGATAATATCTTCTACATACATAAATTAGAAATCTACTACTACTTTGAATTTGAAATCAGAACATTACCTTTCGCTCTCAGTCATCTTTAATAAACGATAACATTAACGGCGTGAATAATTCGGATGTCAATGTGTTGAATATACGAATATATTTCGTGCGCTGATATGTTTAAAATTGCGAGCGTATAAGACTGTTGACCAATCGCTATCAAGCGGCGCCTTAGAAGCGCCGCTTGCCTCTCGATATTCCTCGAATAGGCACCAAATCTAGATTAACGCATGCGCAAATGTTCAAATTGAGCTCCGAAGGCAAGCGCTTGCCTTGCTTAATAAAATAAATTAATTTAATCCATTAATTTAATACACTTGACTCATCTTACAAGTGTAGCAAAAGTGAAACCGAAAATCACGACAGTAAATCGCGTATAAATAGCAAGCATTTCAACTGTAAAGACAATTTAGACAAAGATTACATTGACATTGTTTAGAACAGAAAAATTTAAACTGATTTGCTCAGAGATTGATCCAAAATGTTCGGTAAAATGCTTAGCAAGCGGCGCTTGCCACTACGCTTCATGACCGCACGCCACTTGATGGTAAGGTTTTACCCTTGCTTTGCTTGTTTAAATTCTTCAAAGTAATTGCCGAGCTTTGCGTGTGCTTCAGGCGTGGATGCATTGCAACTATATTGCTGCATCTCTGACAAACCTGAAACATAATAATTCAAGCTTTATAATTATATTTGGGGATAAAACTTTAATATAATTCCGTTAAGAACGAACACGTGCAACACAAAGTCAAAGATTGATATATTGCAAATAAACTTCAATTAAGCAAAATGTACTCAGTTTCTGCTACACATTATTAAAACTATTAAATACTTTCCACAGCTCGGACAAAGTTCGACTTATCTTCAACATATTCTCCGCATTGTATACACAACTTCATGGTTTCATTCCTTGTTGCTCGTTATGGTGTAGTAGGAGTTTGTTTTGAGTTGGTTTTGACGTTGAGTGTGTGCACGTGTGTTATTTTTGCAAGGGGGTAAGAGAGTGTTCGGTATGTTTATTTGTATAGAAAAGATAATTTCAGCGTGGAGAGGGTTATTTGCTCGTAGCAACCTTTCTTTAAGTGTGGATAGCATTTCAACAAGCAGAAGGTTAACATTTGTGTGAGCAGTTCGTTTTCCATGGAGCAACATTATATTTGTTCGGAGAACACTCGGGTTTGTACGTAGAAACTCGATTTGTATGCAACAGCTACATATTTCTACGCAGAAGCTGTGGCACATACGGGCCACCGTAGAAACATCTAAATAATACATGTTTCATCTAACAACAGGACATTGACATGGCTATTTGTTAGTGAGGCATGACTAAAAGATCAGTTCCTGCATGATAATCTTGTTAATACAAATAAATATAAGCTATTTAGGGACGATTGCAAAAACAAAGCACATGGAGAAGTTTGTTTTATATTTGTATAACTCAAAAAGATGTGAAATTTAACAAAGCTTTATATTGATGAACATCGAGTTAAGTTCAAAACGCTTACCACGAAATTTAAAAACATCATTTAAGCATGTTTATACCACAATACATATGCCAATTATATTAAATTGAAATCTCTCTTACAAATTTCACAGTCTGAGTTTTTAAACCCTGCTATCATTATGACAGGAGATATCAATGAACTTCATACATACAGGTAAAATTTTAAATCACAAATGAGCACAGCAATTTTTCTAACAGCTATGCAAATCGATGTGAATGATGGCTTAATTTCGTGTCATCGCGTTATTAACACATAATAACTGAATAAAAGGATATTTGATTATTTCTTTTCATTGAGGTTTGTATTAAACAATGCTTGTCAAAAAATTAATTGGCTAGTGTGGAATCAAATCATTCTTGCTTTGCAACAGACTTCATCTGAACATATAACTGTATGGGCGTACGGAACATTGATAATTGTGTATGCTAGAATTCAAATTTTCATGATTAGCAAACTTAAGCTATTTTAAATCCATTGTCTTTCATGTCCTACTTCACAAGTTCGTCAATTCATGTAAACTTGGA